AAGCCCAAATATCTTAACGACGAGATAAGAGGAAGCCAGTCGAGATTTTCTACATTTTTAAAGCTATTATAACTTAAGTCCAGATACACCAAGTTCGTAAGATTTCCGACCTGACTTGGAAACTTGCCTCCAAAATAAGTAAAAGACAGATCGAGGTATCTTAAATTGGTTAGAGAACCAATGAAATCTGGAACTGGGATCCCAATGAAATTAATCCCACCAAGGTCCAAATGTCGTAAATAGTGCAACTCAATCAGTTTAGGACTAATCATCTTACCTTGCAAATAATACAGTCCATGAAGATCAACTTGAATAACATGGCCCGTCTGGTTGCTACAAGAAACTCCCACCCATTTGCAACAATCTTGTTTTTGGGCTTCTGAACCCCATGAAGAGAGGAGATCGGACTTATCCACCAGGCCATGTTTGAATGCAAGAAGTGCTTGCCTTTCCCTCTCTATGCACCTCCCGGTCACATTAGTATCCCTGTGACTGTGGTCCACCTCTCCTCCTTGGGCGTATTGTAGCAAAAGCAGAGCAAATGCAAGAAAGAGTTTCAAGCACCTTTCGTGGCCTTGCATGTTAATATATTCAAGATCAACACGATCCAATTGTTTAGGGTTTAATTATTGATATATGGTTGTCACGGTGCTTCTCCATATATATAGGGAGGGGGAGGGGGAGGGGGAAAGAAAGTCTTTACGAGCTTGAATAGTATGCAAATTTTGTCATATGCTGCAAGTCTGCAACCCTCTATTCCTATATTGGAGAAAAGTTTTGAGTGTGCCAAATTGCCCAACTTTTTCAATGATGCATTAATGGCAGCACATTCTTGACTATTGAGTTTCAAATTATTAGATAGCACGTACTCAAATTTTGCCCCAAAATTTCTTTTTTTTTCCACGCAATTATTGACTTAGACTTGACATGGTGATTTATCTTCCAACATGCACCAAACTATTTAAGAATGACTTGATTTGTATTTAAAATGCAAGTCTTCAAGTCAATTTTGTGCATAAATAATTTGTGAGAATAAACTTATACAAAAACCATTATCCAACCACTTCACTTATCTAGTGGGTAAGGTTAATTTAATGTAACATTTATAACCTCTACCACTTTTTAAATTTAATTATGATTTTGACGCTTTGCATAATTGGGGAGGATTTATTTTTAAAAGATTCAGGCCATTAGGCCAAATCCGTTACGTTTATGGAGTGTATAATCCATATTGTGCGTAGAAAATGATACGTTGAATAGTGATTAGCATCAAATGCATGCTTCGCCAAATTGGTTGCTATTAACATGTCATTTCATTTGGCCTTTAGCATTTATTGTTCATTTAATTATGATTTAGTACTATTTGGTCAACGCAATCATAAAGTGTTCTGATAAGAATGAAAGGAAAAGGAAAATAAAGGTCTATGGAAAGATAAAAATAGAAGAAAAATTTGTCAAATGTGGACAAGTAGACAAGTAATGAACTTAATTATTTTTATCAAATGCGAGTTCGTCTCAAACACATTATAAAGAAAAGTAGAATTACAACTTCACAAGTCACAATAAGAAGAGAGCCACATATTTATACGCGAAACAGGACCACATCCATGATGTGTGAGTGGCTCCACAAAAGACTTTACCTTCTCAATGTTCCTACAAAATTAGATGCCTTATAGATTTTCAATTTGCATAATTTTTGCAAGGATGATCTCTGAATAAAGATGTGAAAAATGGTTGGTTTGGATCGTAAATTTTTTTTTTTTCTTTTGTAGGGTACCCTAAAGGGTGTCCTTCAATAGAGTCAATGACAGGGGGCAGTCCGAAGTGTAGGTCTTCTCTCCTAACTTTAGTGAGGATAAGTTCGTATTTAATTTAAAAAGAAAAAGAAAGAAGCTAGACTCTTACTCATATTGGTCTATGGAAAGATAAAAATAGAAGAAAAATTTGTCAAATGTGGACAAGTAGACAAGTAATGAACTTAATTATTTTTATCAAATGTGAGTTAGTCTTTCCAGCTCGTCTCAAACACGTTATAAAGAAAAGTAGAATTACAAGTCACAATAAGAAGAGAGCCACATATTTATACGCGAAACAGGACCACATCAATGATCTGGTTTTGCTAGTAATTGAATGAATCATGCATGGAATTAAAAATTTGGAAGACAAAATATTGATTGAATTCAAACACGCTACAAAGAATATTGATTGAATTATATATGCATAAAGTTAATTTGGTAAAAGCTATAATTCAATTCATATAGGCAGCCTTTGTTTTTCTTCTGGTCTGAAAATGAATTTCAATGAAGTGGGGAACTTAATTAGGCAAGACTTGTGGAAATTTGGTTTGGAAGCATGAATTAATGTGTGAGTGGCTCCGCAAAAGATTTTACCTTCTCAGATGTTGCACATCTTGAGAATCCCCAGTTCCACAAGAAAATCAGTCATAGCTAGTTTTAACCTAATTGGGGTTTAATAATAGGCCTGACCGTAGATCATGGGAAATTATTGATTGACTTGACTTGAGATGGTAATTAGTGCCTTCCCGTGTTCACTCATCAACCATAATTTAGCTAAAAACACACAAAAGTTATTTTAAGAGCTCTTTATAAAATTTGAACTCTGATCATACTCCCTAGTTTAGGAAGTCATAAATATTATAGTTATTTTTTTAATTCAATATGATTGGTCCATCTCTATTAAAAATAGAGTGCTGTTGTTTTCATCTCCTATCCTATTTTTCCACCCACATTATGTTCTAAAATAATTTTACCAAAATCACATTTTTCAACAGTGACTTATCTTTTTGAAATGAGATGTTGCTGGTATGCTAAAAAAAAGAGCATGTATTCATTTTTGGCACATCCTTTCAACTTGAGATCGGATTCTTTCCTATTTAAATGATTTTATATCCTTGTAAAGTGTTTGACAAATTCACACATACAAAAGACCAAAACAGATGATACATTTGCTACTGCTAGAAATTAAGTTGGCCACTAATTTCCAAGATGCAAGTGGCTAGAAATTGACTTGAGACTTGAGTAATTGACTAAATTTTGAATGTCTTAGTCATATAATCGCATTTTTCTTCTTTTTTTTATTTTTCAATATATGAAATTCATTGATTTTGGGATTAATGGACAAGACATGTGGAAATTTCGGGCTCATGGGCCAGGCTTAAGGTCTCTGGCGTAATGTTTGTGAATACAACTTTAATGGTCGGGCGGATCCTATCTTAATGCATTCACACTGTTGGTCTGGTAAGTGTACTTTGAATTGAATTTTTTTTTTCATTCACACTGAATGAATGAGATCGATTTATATATTATGGCTTTTGTTTGGTTGATTAAAATAACACTATAGCTGGAATTAATACATAATGGGAGAAGTACGAATCAATTGTTCTTAAAAGTAATTAAAAATAATACAAAATCATATTTATTCCTACTAAGCACTCCAAATTAACTCATAATCTTCTGTAGATATTTGTGCAAGGCACAGTAAAAAAATCATTACTATGATTAAAAATAAAATAAAAAGTTCAAGTTTGACAACAAAACTTTGGGATGGGAGAAAAGAGAAGAGAAAATTAATTGGCTTTCAGTAGTAAATGATATGATTTAAAATACTCTACAGAAAAGAACATTCATGGCAAACAATTGTTTCTAGTTCTTACAAATCATTTACCACTACATAATTGATTACAAACAAAGACACAGTAACAAATCTTAATTAAGGAAATTCCCACTACATAATCCAAAACTTGAAACTTATGCAGATATATAATTGCTTCCATGGCAACTATATGCACTCTTCAAGGCAACTGAAGCTGCAAGTAAACAAGAAGAATTCACAACTTGCCTCCGTAAGTTTTGAAAGGACAATTAATAACTTAAGGGCTCGTTTGGTACACAGGATTGGCTTGGACTGGCTTGGACTAAATTTAGTACCATGTTTGTTTTATCTAATCCTAGTCTTAGATGGGAGATTGCTAATACCGGGCCCACCAAAAACACCTCCTTAGGAGGGGACTACTAATCCCATGTGGAAAGGGAGGATTAGCTAGTCCTAATGGTGACCAATGTATAAAATGCATATATTATATTGTAAAACTAATAACATATATTATTATTATTATTAAACTTACTTACACATATACTATAATGTACATATATACATGTATATACACATAAATATATCATATATGTATATATGTATATATA